TTTTTGACGCAAAATTGACCGGGTGGAAATAAGAGAGACAGCCTCTTAAATAATCACTGAATTGGCCTAGCCGCACTTTCACAGCACTTTTTCTTTACTTTATTTATTAATGTAAGTGTGGTGGCGCTCCCACAAGACTGTTGGCTTCCTGGGTCTCCTCGCCTTCTAGCTATAACCGCTGTAAATAAATTTTTTGTATTGTGTAAATAAGGCAGATAAAAGATGATGATGATGATAATGAATTGTACATTTCAAATATTTACTCTTAACTCTGTTGCAGACATCGCGTTATTAACATTATGACAAATTCCTCCCATAGTACTATATTTTAATTACCGAAACGGCCCTACTTTTGTGAGAAAAAGCCATTTCAGTGATGTGCTCCGACCATCCTTTTATGACAATTTCACCCTCTTTTCTTTTTCGCTGCCGGTCTGACAGATGGTAACGACAGACTTCACACCGTTCTCATGGGACCCGTCAGGAGAAAGAGTGACAACCGCTGTTTCAAGCCTTGAGCTTAAGAACAGTTCTGGGCATCTCTTAAATACGACGGAACTAATACACCCGATTACTATAAGACTACAGAGCCATCAGGACTTCACAAACGCTGCTAAGTCTCATTATGTGGGAGCCAACAGAACTGTTTTCTTCAAGATAAATGTCACTCAGTCAGGGATGGCATTGGTGTTAAACATTCGTCCGGAAAGCAACAGAACAGAGTTTGTGGTGACTGTTAAGTACGGAGAGCGGCCTTCCCCAAGTAATAGCGACTTAAAATCAAGAATACCTGACCTTTCATCTTGCGGTAAGATGCCAGATGGTCATGTGAACTGTTCACGCAATCCATATATAGTGTTTGTGAACCAAGACTTTGTTAAAAACAAAGGTTTTGGATATTACTACTTTGGGCTAAGAGCCGTGTCAAGAATTTCTGAGATCCTAAGGGTTAAGCGCTGCTCAGGTCGCGGCCGTTTGAAGCGGTCGTGTGTACAGTACAAGGAACCACCCACCACTGGTGAAAGTTACAGCGTACCTCAATACCGTGTAGGGGATGAAAATTACACCTTTCAGGTGACGCCAGCTGCTTGCCTGTTCTGGAATGCGCAGTTATCGAAATGGACCTCAGAGGGGTGCCAGGTAAGAGAAGAAATAGTAGATATTTAATCACTAATGAAATATAGGGAATAGTGCTTTAACGCAGAGGTGACCAAGTACTCTTCAGCTACGAGTATCAAAAGCACTTACCCTTTTGATACCACAATCTGATAGGAAATTATTCTATTAGAAGAGGCCGGTGTCACTGAAAAATAAGAAAAAATCTCCTTTCTCTGTAGTTTCGGTTTGAAAGTGGAACATTTTAAACTGCTTTCTTGCAGGTAGCCGAATTGACTACTCAAGATGCCATTTACTGCTCCTGTAATCACTTGAGTGCTTTTGGGGGTCAGTTATTTGTCACGCCGAATCCAATCGATTTTGATAAAGTTTTCACTGAACTAACTGGCCTATCAGATAGTGGAAACATAGCTGTCATTTTAGCGGTTTGCTGTGTATTTGGTTTTTACCTATTTTTATTGGTGTGGGCTCGAAAGAATGACAAACTTGACATCTTGAAGGTAGGCAGATGATTTCTAAATTTCTCAACTAGTTTAACAATCGAATTTTTTATGATTATCTATTTTCACTCTGATTTTTCTGTAAAGTATAGATATTTAACTGGGGCTTCTAAGGAGATTTAAGTGGCATATGTTGTTCATTTGTTCGTACTACAAATGAGCAACATATGACACTTCTATGAAGAACCCATGATGTGTTCATGTTAATCACGCAATTGTAAAGTGCTGAACTAGGTGTAAAGTTTACACTTAGGTCAGCACACAACTAAATTTTCTTTTTTTGTGAGAAATTTTTACAACCCAAAGACGGACAATAAGTATATAATTTTTTGATAACGGGGTGGGTGACAAAGCTCATTGGTGCACTCTGATATTCACAGGACAGCATGCACAGTACAATAATTGAGACTGATTTATTTTTCTTTTTGGTTTTTACAGGTGGGGGAAAAGCCATTCGTAGGAGTTCCTTCACCAGGCTCTTATTTCGTCGAGGTTCAAGTATCCACAGGCATTTGGCGAAACTCCGGCACCACTGCTAACATTTTTATTATACTAGAGGGGGAGCTAGGCACTAGCCGACCTTACCATTTGAAAGACGATTCGTGTATCCCTTTCGCAAGGGGGAGCGTTAGTTCCTTTATCCTTTCGATTCATGACAGTATTGGTCCCATGAGAACCGTGCGCGTATGGCATGACAACTCGGGCACCAGTCCATCGTGGTTTTTGAATTATATCAAGGTTTGCGAACTGACCAATGAGAAGCAATGGAACTTTGTGTGTTTCGCGTGGCTGGCTGTTGATAGAGGTGATGGATTAATAGACCGGACTCTTCGTTGTACTTCAACTGCCGACAAAGGAATTGATTTTGCAGTTTATGTTCAGAATAGAATTGCTGGTGAGTTCAGTGATTCACATTTATGGTTTTCTGTCGCAACAAGACCACCAAGTTATCGATTTACTCGAGCTCAACGTTTATCTTGCTGTCTAGCTATATTACTGACTACCATGCTAAGCAGTGCCATGTTTTACGAGCGTGAAACAGCGATGGACGATGATCAAGGATCGTTGAGGTTGGGCCGTTTTGTTGTGAACTTCAGAGCGCTCGTCATTGCAGGGCAGAGTCTTACGATTGTACTTCCTGTCAATATTTTGACCGTGGCACTTTTTACTCACACTCGTTCTTCAAACGAGAATAAGGAAATGGCTCTCCAAAGGGACCCGCATAGGAAATTCGCCAAGAAGAAACGTGACTTCTCTTTTCCACGCTGGTTTATATTCGTTCCTTGGCTCTTGTGTTTCCTCCTCTCGTCATGTTCGGCGGCTTTTGTTATCTTCTACAGTCTTCAGTGGGGTGCAGATATAAGTGAGCAGTGGCTGATTTCAGTTGTAATGTCAGTTGTATTGGACATATTTGTATCGGAACCTATTCAAATCATAGTTGTTGCCTTTATGCTATCTCACATTTTTAAAGGAGGAATTCAAAGATTTACGTGGCAACCTTATCACGTTGACGCAGTCGTTGATGTCGAAGATATTCAATTGAGTGGGTTAGGCAACAAAGGGATTGACGAGGAAGAAATTGAAATACCAAAGCCACTAAGCAAAAGGCAGTTACGTCGCGCAAGGGTCGCTCGAATAAGGGAGGTGTATATGTATACTGCGCTTCGGAATATAGTGTCGTACATGCTGTACTTGTTAATTCTATGTATTGTTTGTTACGGTGGACGTAGCGAGCATGGGTACCCGATGACATCTTCCATTAAGAAGACATTTGGGGAACTTGATTCGGTATGTTATCGGCCAATTTCTCGTTTTATATACGCGTAACTTAAAGACAACGAATACCTACACCTCTCTGTGATTGTACGAGCCTTTAGATTACTCCTTAAGTTTATAGGAGAAACAATGGCAGTAGATAGAAACAATCAAACTAAAACTTTTCAAAGTAGAAGGAGTTACTGATTGATCGTTGGCTTTTTCGCTTCTTATCATATAGATATCAAATCACTTTAACACTTGGGACTGGACACGTGACGTTTTAGTACCAGGACTTTTTGAAGACGGGAAAAACGTCCCACTGAAGAGTTCCAGTCCTTACATTGGAGATGGCGACTCTGTTCTTGTTGGAGTGCCTCGCCTCAGACAGCTGCGAGTCAAAGAAGGTGTCTTAAAAGAAGTGTTTCAAGTGTTTTCCATCTTGGAAATTGATTTTTTTGTTGACGGAGGCTATTGAGAAAACAGTGTGGTTTTAACAATTGAGTTTGTAACGTAAATTTGCCACCGTAAAGAGCTCCTAAAACTGACATTTGGAGCGTTAGCCCTCCGTCAGAGCAAAAACGAAGGGCTAACTCTCGAAACGCCAGCTTTAGAAGCTCTTTACGGTGGCTTATTTACATTATCAATTCAGTTGATAAAAGCCCTCTACTAAAAGAACGAGCCCAGTTGTTCAAGGTGTGGATAATGCTATCCTACATATAAATTGCCATACAGCCGATAATTGTTGACAAAAAATAATTTATTACCCTCTGCATAACGACTTTTCCAGCAGATGGTGTTATCCACCTTTCGAAAAATTCGGTTAAGTAAAAAGTAAAATGAAGTCAAAAACTAATTTCACAAAGATCCTCAAACAGTTGATGCAGCGGGTCTCAAGTTTTAATTTAGTTGAAATGTATTTTCGGCAGTTCGCTGAGGGGGACTTATCTCGTGGAGGTGGCTCCAGACACTATTTACATGAAACCAAATTCAGCAAAAAGTTTTCGGGTAATTAGCTCGTACATTTATTGTTTGCTTCGGATTGATTTGATGAATTATGAAACATTTTCCTATTTTCACGTAAGAGCTACACACCAATATTTCGACAATATTCACTGAACTCGAAGCGGATCGTCGTTGAGGCAACTATAGTTTGAATAATTAGGCAAACTTCGATCTTGTGATCTGTTTAGATTACAAACATGCTCTTTTTCGTTGTAAGGTTCTTGCGATGTCGGCATAGATGAAATAACAGCCCCATTCAACTCCTGCGTGGCTTCATATACATCCGATAACGAGGACAACACCAACTTCTATCAAACACGATGGCGCCAATTTTCCCCATCGAAGAATGATTCGCTAAGCATTCTCTATCAGATATGTCCTACTGCTTGGCATTATTCTTCGGCAGAGCGAACTCAAAGCCTTCCTTTGTGGGGAAAACTTCATCTGTCAAACTTTTATGGTAAAGGAGGCTACCTGGCCGAGTTGGGCTATGACAGAAATACAGCACTGAAAGTCATATCTGAACTTAATCTGTTTGACTGGATTGACAGGTTTACCAGTGCTGTAATTGTCGAGTTTACTGTTTTTAACTCTCAAGTGAATTTGTTTGGCGTGATTTGGATCCCAATTGAGTTTTCACCAAGTGGTCACGTGGTATCTGATCATGTGATTCGAGGCATTCATGTATACGGAATTGGTGGAGGCTACAGTGCTGTTACCGTCACCTGTCAATTGTTTCTAGTGGGTTATGTTGTATACTTTGTTGTCAAGGAAACGTCGAAGATGATCGCTGGTATTCGAATTTATTTCTCACGTTTTCTAAACTGGGTCGAATTCACGCAGACTTTAACAGTCGTCGGTTTTGTTATCACCCACATTTTAAAACAAACAGAGCTTTTTGTCAACACAGAGAAACTCAAAAACAATACATTTCAGTTTATCAGTTTTGATAAAGGGGCTCTCTTAGAGGACTTGGAAACGGTCTTAATATCGTTACTGATGTTCTTGAACACTTTGAAGTTGCTGTATTTGCTCAAATTCAATCCCCATGTGCGGCATTTATTCTATGTAATGAAGGGATCTGCTCGGGAACTCGTTCATTGCTCGGTTCTATTCGCTGTGTTCATATTTGGATGTATTCATGTGGGATATCTTCTATTTGGGGGAGAACTTTACTCCTTTTCTTCGCCTTTCATTATTCTACAGTCTCTTCTAGTCGAAGGAGTCGTCGGTGGCGGAGTGGACTATTTTAACGATTGTTGTACAGTCATCGGCCCTGTTTACGTTACAGCGTTAAAATTGGGACTAAATCTCATATGCATCAATATTTTCATTTCAGTTCTTGTTTACAATTACGGCAATATCAGAGACCTCACCAGAGGGAAATTCAATCTTGGAAACTTCATTATTGTAAAAGTAAAGGAACTCATGGGTTTTGTGGTTCATAGTTCAGCAATGGATGCAGACAGTTCGTGTGATCATAACACAAATAAGGAGGAGAACAATACACTTCCTGAAGTGGATGAGATATTAACCAAGTTGGATCAGATTAATCACCATTTAAATATTTTGTATGTTGACGAATTCGGTGAAGACCTTGACATGTTTTCTTTGTGGTTTGATCTTCACATTCAACGCTTAAAAGCTAAGGATGCACAAGAAAGGTTTGAGAATGATTTAGAAGAAGTTTACGAGGATGCACAAGAATACTTAAGCCTCGCGTAGTAAATGGTGCTTGCAGTTCGCCCGCCTGTATGACTAGACTGAGAACAAACAAACAAACAGGAGTCGACCGCGATCACTTTTTGTTAAAAAATAAAGCTGCTGTATTTAGGATCAGAAGTACTTGTCGCGCAAACTTGCGAACCACTTCATTGATTATTTCTCCGCTAGGTAATTGTTAAAAGAGGTGCTGTAATTTGTGTTCACTTCGGAAGTTTTATTTTACTGGTTTGAAACAGCTTCATTATTTACGTTAAGTGGAGTTTATTGTTCTATAATTGCTACAAATTAATTCTAGTGCCTGATTAAAAAAAACCTAATGGAATGAAGCTTAAAGGAGGTTAACAGATGAAATATCGTATCGTTGATTAATAAGAGTCTCGGTGTAATTTTACAAAGGTTGACGTTAAACCTTTTCATTCCCAAGAGCTAAATAACAATTCTCTTCTCTTTGTCTGCTAAAAAATTCGTACAATTTTTAAAACCTCTAAGAATTTGATGTTCAAACAAACACTTTCCCTTCGGCAATTCATGATTGATATTTTTCTTTCTACTTGTCACTTTTCTGTTTGGAAAAGATTCCTTTTGTGTTACTCTCGAGAGCTACGGTACTCATTTTTTAAGCCCTTTCTCTTCTTTTATCTTATGGAGCCAACGGTCGAGAGCTATTCAGTAAAATGACAGCAGTTTAGGGCATCAATAGTTTCCTCCACGTTACAGTTAGTCATTAACCAAGGCAGAAAGCTTCAGCAAGGGGCCACGCAGGATTATCAGAACTTACTTTCCGATGATGTGCTTTATCTCGCTATCTCAAAGCTTACCTTGGGGTCACGTGACGTCCAATTATGAAACTACCTAAGCTTCACTTAAACTTCTGCAGTTTTTGTGGATTAAACCTTCCAAGGAATATCTACCCATCATAGATAATAACAGGCATAGGGATATTCGGATATTTTTTCCATTAAGTGATTCCTAACAAGCAGCAAAAATGCGATACTCTAACATTATTTCAAATTGCAAAAGTAGAATAAGTAACCATCGGCAGTAGATATCAGTTAATCAAAACAGTTGCATTCCTGCTTAAACTCTGCAATTTATTTACGTTCATAATTTCTATAGCACTCAATTTAAACAGCCTATCTAACAATAAATATCATATTATAATTTCTCGTTAACAAAGAAATATTCTTAAAAGGTTATAATACAAAATAAATATGGAATCAAATATACATTCTTTAAATGTCCCTGGAAGCCCACATGCTCCAATAAATTAAGAGAATTCTAATTCATATTTCTTAACGCAACAAACGTTTGCTGTTTAGTATTTATAAGAATCTTTTAGAAAGATAGCCTGTAAGTAAGGCTAATTATTATTCAATAAGTGGTTAAATGTTCTCGATCCTAACACAGACGCAAACTGCATTTCAATATCCTTTTGAAACCTTATTAATAATTAGCAGTTACTCTCCGAAGTGGAGGTGGCATGTGGTGATATTTACCGTGCCGCGAAGCGGCGAGGAAAATATCACTAGTGTCCGACACTGAGGTGCATAGTTGTATCAGATATACCAAAACAGTGAGATAATATAGCACAAAAAGATGATTTTAACTCATTTATTCCGGTAACGATTACGATAGTCGTTGGTAGCAATTCCCCGCGTGAGTTACTCGATGGAGAATGGCAAAGAATATTAGGAGTTTGACTCGCCAATCAGAGCGCGCCTTCAAATTTATTCACTGTCTTTTTATATGCCATTAGAAGTTATCTATCCTAATGCAAATTGATGCGGAAATGTCCAAAGTTATTCCTTCTATCCCATATACTTTACCCAGTACAAAAATAACCTAAAACAGACTTATAAAACATTTTGAAGCGATTTTCCATCCAAAACGAGACTAAAAATAACTTTAAGAAATTACGAAACGAAAACCTGTAAAATTAAATTAAAATCTAGTTTTGTGTCACCTTTAAATTAGTCTTTCGTGCCTGCATCGTCACTTGAAATGGCTCAAAGGTAACGCTTTTAACTTCCTTTTTGATAATTTTTCAGCCTCGGGTTAAAATTTTTTAAGGTAAAAAAATCATCAAGAATCCCGTCTGTTTGGTTGATGCGCTCTTGGCTAATGATTTAGAGTAACTACCAAGATTAGTCTGACAGGACAGTACCGTCAAGATCAAGTATAGAGTTAGAATTGAGCAAAAGCTGAATAGTTGACATTCCTAAGGCTGCATATCTGATCAAATTCAGAATTTTACGGGGGCGTGGGAACTTCCTCATTGTCCCTAATTTAGTGACGGATTTCCTCAGTCTTCTAGAAAAGAAGAGGCATTACCCAAAAAATTAAGCTCAACTGAAACACGTGCATACACCTTATCACCTCATTCTTGCATTTTCGCATCTCGATCGGAAAGGCACTTCATAACGTAAATTTGGCAGGTTAAATTGCTGTTTCGCTCAACATAAGCTGGCCCTCATGGTACATAAACATTAAAATGAACCTCAATTTTGTCTAACAGAGGTTTCAACTATCTTCCATTAGACTTCTCATGAGACTGATAATATTGTGAAACGATCAATATGACAAATAAAACTGACGTATTCCAAATATCACGTGTAAGAAATACTCTTTCCAAGACTTCACAACAACTAAAAACGGGCCATTTCATCTGTCGCTTTTTCTAAGTCCGAGATCACTTTCCTAATACTGTTAACCATGTATTATCGTTGTAAACCCCACTATGGAATTCCAGCAATTTCCCTTGGATGCACATTTGCTCTAAACTGTCCTACGATGTTTCCCGGAGGATAGTATCTTCCGACGACCACATGTCTCCCATCGGGAGCTACAGCCATTCCCATTCCAAATTCTTCTGTTCCTACCCAGACTAACTGCGTGAAATGCCCCGTATTGGATGTGTAACCTGGGCAATCAAAGTCGTATTCTTGAACTTCATCATACCACAAGTCTACCGCTCCTCGAGCAGAAAGCGGGCTATCCCATGTGTAGGCCAGGTTTTCCCCGCGGTCCTTTTGCCCGCTGTGAGTAAGTGAGCCTGTCTTAATCAAGCGATCTGCGTAATTCTGCGCTTCGGCAGCCAATAATGGAGACCAACGCAGAGGAGGAGCATTGTGAAATGTACGGTAGTAATTATGTGAGATGACGCACTCGGTTTTAAATTTTTCTGATGACGTAAAAAATGAGGAAATGAGCTTACAAAAATGAAAAGTGTGAGTAAAGGAAAACAACAGAACATGATATAAACCTGTGTAGAATGGCAAACAGAAACGAAAAAAAGCAACACAAAATAAGGTTATGAAAAAACAAGGATGGTCTTTGTCTCATGAACGCAATGTATTAACAGCGCAAGAGGATGCTCACGAGGGCAATGAAGCGATAAATTTGGTTATCAATCCGTATTTAAGAGTAGTCTTAATTAATCGGTAATCGAACTTAGTCTTCCAACTAGATGTGGTCTTCCATTCTTACATATAATCTCACTTCCTCTATCTAGTTGGTGTGCTACGCTATCTGGTTATCTGCCAAAATTGCCAAAATTGCTATGTTCTTGAGTAAATTTAAGCAGCTGTCTGTTTTAGAAAAATACACATAACGACATGCTTGAAACCGCATGCCTCAAAATTTTCATTCCATGAATGCCGCGGTAGACAAACAAGTTATCCACCGGCAGTTGAAGTTCTCAAGTAAGTCTCTAATTTAATCATGGTCACTACCTCTTTCCGCTGGAGTGGACGGCGGAATTCCTGACCGGGAACGTCTCCTGGCACTTGACCTTCGTCTTCGCACTCGGCTAGAAGAATCTTTAGGTGGTTTTACATTGTCTTTAAATTCTCCAACGACGTTTCCTGAAGGTTTATACCACGCCACGACATACTGAGTTCCATCATCAGCCACAGACTTCCCCACACCGAACTCAGAGGACGAAGTCCAAACAACTTGCGTAAAATTACCACATTTGGCGTTAAAGGCAGGATCATCAAAATTGTACTCTGATGATTCTCCATACCAAGTGTCAACAACTTCGGAGCCACTAAATTCTTTTCCTTGCGAAGTTGCGAGATTTTGACCAAATTCTTTCCCGTCGCAGCGCTCGAGGGAGCTCATCGATGCCAAATATTCTGCCCACTCTTTTGCGCCAGCGGCGAGTTCTTCAGACCATTTCAGCGGTTTGCATCGGTGTTGCCGCCGGTAGAAGTTGTGTTGCAAAAGACAATCTTGCTCAAAGTCATTTAATCCTAAAAAATACATTTCCAAGGATATTTTGTTTAGTCACAATATTGCTCTATCAAAGAAACCCTCCGTGATTAGGTATAATACAAGGAACAGAAAATCATCACGAAAAAGAGTAGAGAGCATTATACCTTGAAAGTGAAAGGAAAAAAATTCCCATTTATGTCAAATTGAAAGGAAAAGCAAAGTTCTCTCTCACCTTCAAGATCAACTGAGGCCGTGGAGGACAATGATCCTTCACTTGAAATACTTTGTTCACCAGAAGAGTCACTGCTTAGATTGTGCTCGTTTTTATTGTCTTTTCCTTCTCTGGATTCGGGGTGTACTTCTTTTTCAACAGATTCTGGAGTTGCTTTCACGTTCTCTCGATCTCCTTCATCAGAAAGAATACCCTTCTGTATTGGTAACGTTTGAAATTCCTCACTGGAAAAATCTTTCACTGCACTCTCAGCAAAACCCTCCTGAACTTCCAATTCGTCATCTTTTACTACAAAGGAATCCTCAGCGAGTTCTTGATGTGTGCCGCTACTCTGGCGATCCGCATTTTTATCTTCATTTGATTCGGTATCAGCAGACACTGCTGCATGTCTAATCGAAGAAGTCGTCATGGTCTCACCTAATTCATCCTCGTGCAAAGTTTCTTCACTGCTAGAATGTACATCTGAATGGAAGACATTTTCGTCCCCTTCCTCCCCTCTGAAACCCCCATTCTCGTCATCACAGTCTTCATCGGACTCCACTTGGCTCAATTTCTCCTCTAAGATAACAAATGACTCCAGCCGTTCATATTCTTCGAGTTGACGCTGTTCCTCTTCATCCAATTCGTCTTCTGGAGAATCGTCGATTCCGAATTCTGGGGATTCTCGGATTTCCTCTAGACCAACGTCTTTGTATTCTCTCTCGTAAAAACTCTCCGCGAGTGGTTCCTTTTCAATTTCAAGCTCTTCCTTCGGGTATTCTACAAGGTTGTTGTTTTCACCATCATTATCCTCCTCAGGAATGACGTAGATTTCTCGTTGCTCAGAAAGGTCCTCCTCACCAGAAGATTCAAACTCATCACCGTATCGTACGAGAATAAACTCTTCAAGGTTTTCTTCCAATGGATCTCCCTGTCGCACGAATTTTTCGGTGAACGGTGCTTCATCTTCTACCTCCTCATAAGCTCGTTCCAGGCTCTCTGTTGATGACAATTCAACGTAATACCGTGTTGCTGCTCCTTCATCCTCATACAGATCAACTTGGCTCAAATCAAGCGGCTGCCTTCGTGTGGATCTCTTTTCAACAAGTTTAGCACGTCCTTCTTCAACAAACTGCTCTGAACTTTCTATGTAGTAAACTGTTTTGCGTTCCTCGTCTTTAACCATCATGGGTTCTTGGTACTCTTCTCTTGAAGCAGAAATCTCCACCTCTTCTTCAAATACCGCTGCTACTGAATGACCTTCTGGATCAAAATCCTCTGAGCCCGCTTCTTGAACTTCTTGTAGTGTAGATACCTCCAATTCCTCCTCAAACTCCGTTGACTGTGGTCTTAATTGCATATTGTCAGCCGTCTGGCTTTCAAAGCTGCCTTCTTCCGCTTGAATAGTGCTTCCATGTGCTGCTATCTCAACTTCTTCTTCAAAAGTAGGCGTGCTACTGACGACATTATCCTTAGTTTCAGAAGGGTCTCCGTCCTCTTTTAGCTTGACCCTTTGCATTTCCACTTCCTCCTCATAGATAGATTGCACTTCGCTTACGTCTACTTCTTCCTCAAAGAGATGTTTTTTTCGTTCATCCTCGAGAGGTTTACTTCCCTCCTCTTGGTCCCATCTGTCTATTTCCTCTACTGAATCGGTCTTGGATAATCTTGAACTGCCATGATCAACATTTTCAGCTCCTTCGCCACGGAATTCTTCCTCTGACAAGGCTTCATCCATTCGCATAATATCGATTTCTTCTTCAAAGTGTTCTTCTGCTGACTCTTCTTCAAGAGAAGCTTCGTCATCTTTTAAGATGACCGTTACGTCTTCCTGTCGTATAACCTGTTGAACTTCTCGAACGTCCTTAACTCCAGAGTGAACAAGACTCACAAATTTTGACTCCCGTTCTATCATCACATGTGGGTTCCCCAAGGACTCTTGTTGTTCAGCCGCCTTGGATTTCATAACTTCGCTCTTTAAAAGACGAACCTCTGTTTCGTCCTCTGAAAGTAGTCTTTCATTCTTCTTGGTTTCTTGATCCTCGACTTCTTTCTCTAAAATACTTTCACTAAGCTGATCATTTTTTACATAGTGTTGATCGTTTTCCCACGAGGTTTGTCGGGTTGTTTGTTTTGTTGGAGTGAAAGAGATTTCTTGAACTGTTTTTAATTCTTCCTTTAGTATACCCTCACTGTTTTTGTCGGCCTTGTAGTGAATTGCTTCACTTGCAGTAGCAATGTGAGAATCTGTGGAAGATACCTGACGCGTTGTTTTCGATGCAATAACTTGAACTGTCTCTTCAATTGTGTGCGATGTTTCCATTCGCTGTTCTTCTTCTCCAGTATAGATATGTTCGCTGCTTTGTGACTCTCTGCTCTCCATAACATGATAACTAGACTTGACTTCAACAGATCTCTGTTCTCTCTGGCTCGCAGTCGTAAACGTCTGCATCTGATGTGTAAAACCTTTTTCTTCGATTTCCTTAGTGTCTTCCTTCGTTTTTCCTTCCGTATGGACAATGCTTTCTCTTTCGACATCTCTTGCATAGTGATGAACATAAACAAGCTCTTGTTCCTTAGATTTCTGTGCGTTGTCAGTTGCGTCTACAAGTTTATCTTCTTCCTCTGAAACTTGCGACTCGCTTAACACGCTTTTAGAAACAGCGTTAGTTGGCTCTCCTGACAGTGTATCTCTTCTGCCGCTCTCTTCCATCTCTTCAAATCCTTCACAAAACTCTCTCTCGCTTAAGTCATCTTCCTCTCCAACACCGTCATTGTAATCAGAGTCGGAAAAATCCGAAACCGTCTGCAGGAGCGGTTGAGATACGAAAATGCTAGTTTCCGTCTCTAAAGGTTTCTCTTCTTTCTTGTACTCCTCAGTCGTTTCGATTGCAACTGATTTCCCGTTCAGGACACTTTCGTCATAAATTGCTTGTGTCGACAGTTCTTCTGTTATGTAAAGTGATGGCAATCCTTTCGAGAACGACTTTTCCGAAACGAACTTAGTTTCATCGAGTGTCATGACTTGATAGGTTTCAGTGCCATAATCCTCGCCAGTTGTTTCGTAATCTTGAAAATCCTTGAGTTCACTAGAAACGTGCAACGGTGACGACGAACACTCGGACATTAATTCTGAGACAGAGCCCTCTTCACTTTCCTCAAAAGGTTCAGCAAAGTCTGTTTGCTCCTCCACTTCATCTTTCTTTGAAGGAAATACGGAAATGCAAACTTCTGCAGCAACATGCGACTCAGAGACAGGTTTTTTTTCAGTCTTATATTTTACGACAGTTTCTTCAAATTGTTCTTGTATTTCTGTCTCGATATTTGGTTCTTCTTCGACATAGCATGCACTTTCTTCGTCATTATCGGATACTTCATCGGCAACGTTCACAAAAATAGCTGGCACCTCGAGATGTTTCTCTTCACTATGTTGTTGCGTTACTTCAGATTTTGTTTCTACCACCTCAGAGACCTGTTGTGTAGTATCAATTTTGAGTTCCAATGCAGCAGCGGCAATACTCAATAAAGATTGAGGAGATTTAAGAGCAACAGTTGTGGCTCGCACCTCAGCTTCTTCAATTTCCTCTGCAATCTCTTCTTTTTCTGGTTTTTCTTCCTCTGAGGATTCTTCATGTGGTTCAATGTTAGAGAGTTCAACAGCTACGTGTAGTGAAGATTGGTTTGTGTCCTCTATATTAGTTGTGGTTACAAGTTGAAGGCTGTCTTCGAACTCTAAACCTTCCTCCAGCTGCAATGTGTCTTCCATGATCTCATCACGAGAGACAATGTTATCTATTTCTCCAGCAATATGCGCGCTTCGAGTTGGCTCCATGAGTCCTTGAGTGCGATAAGCACTCTCGAATTCTTCAAACTGTTCACCATAATCCGATTCTGGTGACTCTTCTTCGTCTGTAATCTCTCTAAGCTCTATGTTTGTAACCTCACCAGCAACATGATTGTTTCCATCAGTGGTTTTAGTAACGGCATAATCGTAGTTGACCTCCTCATCACTTTCTTCAAATTCCTGGGCGAGCTCTAAAGGTGCCGTAGCTTCTTCTGAGATTTCCACAAATTCTGATATGCGCACCTCTTGACCAGCAATATGAATGGGAACCGACGTTTTGGTGGGTGTCAATTCGTCAACAGCAAAGTTTTCTTCGATGAAAAGAGAGGCTCGTTTATTTTCAGCGGTTGGCTCTTCTTCCACTTCTTCGAAATTCTCTGCATTCGAGCCTTCTCCTGCAAGGTGCTCAGGAGATGACGGCAAAACAGTTATCTCCTCGTCTACAAGAGTACCTTCGTCTAAAAACGACGATGCTCGGTTACACTCCTCGATAGATTCTTCTTCTAGTTCGTGGTAAGTCTCGAAATTTCGGCTTTCCACTGCAATGTGCTTTGGAGAAGATGGGCTGTCAGTTTGAACGTTTACTTTATTTTTTTCCTCTTCTAAAAGCAGTGATGCCCGTTTGCTTTCCTGAATGAGCTCTTCATCAATTTCTTCAAAGGGTTCGACATTTTGATGTTCTTGAACGAGATGTTTGGGGGAAGAAGGAGTGATAGGTTCTACTTCATGGATAAATGAGTCTTCTTCCTCTAACAAAGACGCTCTTCTCTCCACTTCATCAAAAACATCTTCATACATTTCTTCAAAACTCTTTCCATAAGCGCCATCACCAGCTATAACCGACGGCGAGGACGTCGACCGGGTTGTAACACTACCAACTGTTTGTTCATGCATGACCAATGATGTCTGTTGTACGTCATCATGTTGTTCTACCACCTCTTCGGTTATTTCAGAGCTACGTGTTTCACCAGCAATGTGTAAGGAATCCTCAGGTCCTTTGTACTTCACCGAGTCCACACATGAATTTTCCTCCATATACGGTGACGCTCGTTTTTCTTTTCGAAACATGTCCTCGAAGTTTATTTCAGATTGTACAATTTGACGAGTCTCGGCATCAATGTGCTCTAAGATCTCTGGTGGCTCGCTCGCTGTTGATGATTTAGGTGCTTGGTGGTAATCTAATGGTTCGACATGTTCTTCAGTTGGAAGTATCTCATCAGATGAGGAGAACACTAAATTAAGTTCTAAGCTGGTTTCCTCGAGAGCCTTTGCACGTTCCTGACCGTAATCTCGACGAAGAGCTTCATAACACTGTTCCGCATTATCTTCCGGGGTCGGACAGACCAATCGCACTTGTGGCTCCACGGGATCCTTCGCGCTTTTCCAAACCACTTGAATGGTATCCTCCTGAGCAGTTTCATCGAAGCATTCATCACGTGCAGGAATGGATGTTGTACCTTGGTAATCTAGTGTTACTTCTAACCCAGCCTTCCCTTCTTCTTCCAGATCGTCGTCATTATCTGTAATGGGTGAAGGCCCAAGATCAGCGCTTATTTGTGACAATTTCGCTGCACGTTCACTTTCCCGATCTCGTGATAGAACCTGAACTGTTTCAGAGGGGTAGATGACTATACTACTTTCTTGCCCTACGTTAGTTTTCTCCAACGCATCCCAATCTGCGTGGAGTTTTCCAAACAACGCTTCAAAATCTATTTCCGATTCCACAGCCTCTCGAAAAGAAGCTTCACAAGTTTCTTCAATTGGTGTTTTTTCATATTCTGGCTCATAATGCCTTTTACTGTGTACAATGTTTTCCAAAAGCTTTCCTTCCATTGTTTCGTCGAAATCATCAGATTCGTCACTAGCATCTTCGTTGACCTCCAGTAGTGAAATTCCTTCTATGGCTGAGAGTTCTTTCATTCGAATTTCGACGTTTTCCTGTTTCGAAGCCATTAAACAAATCTGTGGATCTAGAGTTCTTTGAAATGAGTCTCTTTGTTCGTTTAAGCCTGGCTCACTAGATTTAAAACGTTCCTCCTTAAAATTTTCTGGTGTGTTCCCAATTTTTGAAGTGGATTCTCTTACGATATCTTCAAAATGATCGGTTTCCGAAAGTTCGTCCGCAAACTCTGCGTTTTCTTCGTCTAGGGAACAAAACATGTCCTCGAAGTTCATTTTAGATTGCACAACTTGACGAGTCTCGGCATCAATGTGCTCTACGATCTCTGATGGCTCGCTCGCTGTTGATGATTTAGATGCTTGATGGTAATCTAATGGTTCGACATGTTCTTCAGATGGAAGTATCTCATCAGATGAGGAGAACACTAAATTAAGTTCTAAGCTGGTTTCCTCGAGAGCCTTTGCACGTTCCTGACCGTAATCTCGACGAAGAGCTTCATAACACTGTTCCGCATTATCTTCCGGGGTCGGACTGACCAATCGCGCTTGTGGCTCCACGGGATCCTTCGCGCTTTTCCAAACCACATGAATGGTGTCCTTCTGAGTAGATTCATCGAAGCATTCATCGCGTGCAGGAATGGATGTTGTACCTTGGTAATCTAGCGTTACTTCTAACTCAGCCTTCCCTTCTGCTTCCAGATCATCGTCATTATCTGTAATGGGTGAAGGCCCAAGATCAGGGCTTATTTGTGTAAATTTCGCTGCACGTTCACTTTCATCACCTCGTGATAGAACTTGAACTGTTTCAGAGGGGTAGATGACTTTACTACTTTCTTGCCCTTCGTTAGCTTTCTCCGATACATCCCAATCTGCGTGGAGTTTTCCAAACAACGCTTCAAAATCTATTTCCGATTCCACAGCCTCTCGAAAGGTAGCCTCACAAGTTTCTTCAATTGGTGTTTTTTCATATTCTGGCTCATAACCCCTTCCATTGTTTACAATATTTTCTAAAAGCTTTCCTTCCATAGTTTCGTTGAAATCACCAGATTCGTCACTAGCGTCCTCGCTCACCTCCACTAATGAAAGTCCTCCTATGGCTGAGAGTTCTTTCATTCGAATTTCGACGTTTTCCTGTTTCGAAGCCATTAAACAAAACTCTGGATCTGGAGTTCTTTCAAATGAGTCTCTTTGTTCGTTTAAGTCTGGCTCACTAGATTTAAAACATTCTTCCCTAGAATTATCTGGCGTGTTCTCTACTAAATCAGGTGATTCATCCTCGCACAATATAAAATTATTAGTTCTGTAAGACTCATCAGCTGTGCTCAAGTTCGTTGGACCAAGTGGTTGGTCCTCCTCTTCCGTAATCTCGGGATGCTCATGCGAAATATCCTCGTGGTAGGCATCAGTGATCTCCATAGCTGATTGCTCTTCTTCTGAAAACTCGTGGGTCACGCAAACGACCTCCTCAAATTCAAGGTCTTGTAGGCCTTCTGGTCTGGTATCATAGTCTGGAAAATCTAGCACATCCTCTGTTTCTGAAACACTTACCAGACTTTCTTCTTCGTCTTCAGCCTCGTCGTCAAATATGTCTTCGTCTAATTGCACATCTTCTTCGTCCCCCTCCCTGTGCGCAGGAAATACATCGTCAAATTCCAGCTGACACTCATGTTCTTCCAAGACTTCCTCTTCTCCTCTAACTTCCTCTTCTTGCGGGAAAGAACTTCTTTTCGGACGGGAAGCCAATTCCTCCAGCTCTTCTTGAATGAGACTGCGTCTAAGTAAGGTTTCTGAATGGGAGGGTGATTGAGTTTCCATGCCTTGCTGAAACATCTCAAAGAAAGCTACCTTGGACAGAACGCTTGCCCTCTGCATGTCTGGTTCTGTTCCCTCTGAATCCAATGTAAGAGAGCGACGCACCTCAGAGAAACGTTGATGCAGATCATCTTCGGGATCAGAAAACAAATCAGCCTCTTCCAATTCGCCCTCCTCGGTATGCAAGAGTGGTTCTTCCGTTACACTGGTAAGATCTGGAAATAAACAAAGAAAGACTTATCCGTTTGCTAAGGATACTTGGAAAAACTGAAATAGGTATCATTGCGAAGCCATGCTTTAAGTAGCAAAAGGCCAGAACAGAATGATTTCCCCAACACCTGCAAACAGATTTTCTAAAGAAGGAAGACTTTTATTTCCCAGAGAAACATTTGAAGCCGAATGGACGTGGTTCAAATCACCTTAATTTGTCTTTCTTCAAACAAACCAACTAATTCGGTAGAAACTCCTTCTTCATCCCAAAATTTGCTGCTAAATCAGAACAATTTATTCCCTTACCAGCTGCCTCTGACGTGTTATCCTGTTCATACGCTGTCCGCGGATCCTCTTTCTCTTCATCCTCCTCCAGCCCACTCTTGTCATCCTTAGCAGGCTCCTCGATAACACCTTTCCTCTGTAGAGTAGGGCTGTTAGGATCTATCCACACCAGCCGGGTAAAATGGTCGCTTACTGTCAGGTTGTTAGATACTTCCTGCTGCGCCTGGGCCCTGTGGAGGATATTCTCGTTCTCATCAAACTCGTCCGAGTCACTAGAGGGGGAAAGTGACAATGAGAAGCCACGAAATTGGCGGATATTTTGTTACAAAGAAACAGTCGGAGGCCTTAAAGCACCAACTTTGTCTTATAACCTAATAATATCGTTGGGCTCTTGTTTCAATGAATCAAAGTGTTTGCCTTTTTCATTGGTGATTACTTTGGCTCACTACATACCAATCAAATAGTCCCAGGAGAAACTAGCTCTAGCTCTTTTATCTCAATTCTGATCACTAATTTCGGCACTTTGGTTCTGCCAGAGAACCTTTAGAGAATGGACAAAAAATAACCTACTGCTTCTCTGTTACCACATCTATTTAATTACACTGGGATGAATACCATTCAGTGCATTAGTGCCGTTATTCTCTCCTGAGGAAGTAAACTAAAGTGGCTGTCTGCGTTACCTTGTAAAACGAGTAAGGAGGCTTATGACAAATATTTTTACTTTCATTTAGCGCCTTTAGATAAAACTTAAATCGCTATTGAATGAAAGAAAACAAATGTTTAGCATTAGGTTAAGTTACTCTGGTTTAGTTACAATCAGTCTTAACAACAAGAAATCACGATCAAATGTTTTTCTCTTGTAGGTTTACAGGATTTAAGTTGTTTGTGCGTTAATGCTCATTAAAATTATCAGCAAGCGTTTTCAGTTGCATGACTAGACATTTATTTCAGCAACAGTTACATTTAATTTACTGTTTCTTGTTATTTCTACAATAATTTATTTATGAAAGATTTTTATTCACATAACAACCCCTTCAGCAAATTTTATGTGATTAATTCTTCTCCCTCTAACTATTTCAATGGGTGATTGGATATTAACAATCACAGAATGACACGACAATCATGAAATTATTAACAAGGAAGATGAAAATAGAGTATGACGATGTGATATGATGCTATTTCCAGGACTGACATGCGCTGACAACAAAGAATTCCTTACGTAATCAATACCCGGTCAAAAAAAAAATAGGCGTTTCCTTAATGAATTCCACTGTTGAGAATGATAAACCACAGCTAAAAACAAAAACACGAAATGGAACCAGAAAACGAGGAAATTTACCCGATTCAATTAGCAGAACAGCAGAGATTTTTAATCATTAAATAAAGCGTTTCATATTTATAAAGAGAGAGAGCCTTTCCCATCACCTCAAGAGCCGCCTAATGACTTATTCGTGAGCAAAAGAGTTACGATCCCGAGAACATCAGTGAAGATTGAAGTTGTTAGTTTCTTTAGCGAAGTGCTTTGTTTTAAAAGAGGGACCTAAAGTAGACATTTTTTTAATTGATTTGGCCTAGCACAGTGTTAAGAACATTTCATAACATGCGATAACAAGTCAGACTACGTTTACAAGAGAGCAAAAGCCGCTAAATTATCCGCGATCCTTGATTCTGGGGAAGCGGCTGTAACCCTGAAATAGAGAGAACTAAAAGAGCCAAGCACCCATGGGGAAAACCTAGCGCACACCACACTGAACAAAGCTGTTGGTTTTGCTGGCATATTTTTGGTATGTTTGCTCGTAGAGATGGTCGGTTTGGACTCATTTTCCAATCACAATATGTTTTCCTGTGTATGATTACATTATATTCCAGTTAAAGTATACTGTGGACAATGTGAATTAATCTGCCCCCTTTTTGTGCTCGTTTCGTCGTCTCATACATTACACTTTCTTCATTGATGTAGTCATGGTATGTTCAACTCAGGATAAGGTAGTTATCCCAAGGAAAAAAATCATTGAAAGACGAAATTTTTATACTAGTTCACTTGATGGTGAGGAAAATAAACGGATGAGCGAAATCACTCGTTTCATCGGGAAGAAAGAATTGGCAGCTACAAACACAAAGTCATGGCACAACGACAGTCTCTTTTTTAATTCTAAATCACTTACACTGAAAGGCATTTTTCTTTCCTATTTTGTCAAAACAGTCTTTAGTGTTTTCCTCAGTGATTATACTATTTTTCTAACAGGCATTAAAAAAATCAAATTCTCTTTCAAAATTTCAAAAATAAATGTAAAAATCCTTTAAAAAAAAAAACCAGCCGATTATACAAGGCTTTTTAAAATCATGGATCCAAAAGTACAGTGAGCAAACAATCTCTCATTTCACGCAAGGAGGGGTGGACATCCGCCAAACACCGCACCATCGACTTTTTGCTCTCGTGTCAACGTACTCAGAGAAAATGCTAAGCGGGAAGACGAGAGTTCATACCTCCAACTTAAACTGGCGGCCATACTAAGGGGAGGGGAAAGGTAACAGCTGTTACGACACCGGTCCAAGTCTTCTAATAAACGGTTTAACAGAAACTTTGCACGATTAAGTCCAGTCCCTTGAGGTGCTTCACAACTAAAGTGGCGACAAAATCAACGTATTAACCAATTGTTTGAGTCAGGAAAGCTTTCTTATTCTTCATTTTTACAAATTTTTCAAACGAACGTTGCCGTAAAACGCTTGAAGCTTTGAGGAAGTGTGATTTTTAACCATTTTAGGAAGAATGAAATTAGCAAGGTTTACCTACCTGCTGCACCGTAATAATTCCTTATTGAGGCCTCAAACAAACGTGAATGAGTTTAAGAACACAAAACTGACCGCAGAGACATTTAATGCAAATCATGATGAGCGAGTGTTACGCATGCGTTACTTAGATAACGTGTACATGCACCATATAACTCTTACCTCGTCCTCACGGAGCCAGTCTGTAGTTCAACAAAAGTCGGCGCATCTGAAAAAGGATTTTTATTCATCAGGAGAATTGCCTCCTCTGTTTTTGCATCGACGACACACCTAAATTTCAACTCACGTCATGATTTACTTATGTTTGCCTCCTGACACATTTCAAAAATCAAAGGGCACCCAAGTAGTCCTGGATATGACCAAATAATCAGAAAGTAAATATTGTCACAAACCCAGATCGTAAATATTCTGATAGGGGATATTTTTGACGTGGATTTCTCTTCTGTAATTCACCGAGACCACTGTTTGGTCAAGTAAGATTATCAACTAACATGCAGAGTCAAAGTTGCCGATGGTATGATATAACCAAAACTTTCACGACATATCCCTCGAAAACTGCAATTAAAAAGTTGACTCACGCTGTTACAAACTCCTGCCCTCTCATTTAATTTATATGTGTCAACAGTTAAATTAGCAGGACAAAGAAGGTTCCTTTTGTCAACAGGAAAAGTACAAACCTTCATGCTCCCAACTCATAAAGCTGGTAGTGGACTTGCTGTCGGCTCGCACACGGTATCTATATTCCACGTGGAATATCATTGGTTCACAGCTGCCTCTCTCGTGTCCTCGTCGCTTGACATTCTGCACAAACAGTCCATCTATATTGCCGACAGGCTCATAGCGTGCTACAATGACAGTCACTCCGTCCACACCTGTTGCTTTACCAATACCCAGCTTACGACTGCTTTGCCAGACCAGCTGACTGAAGTTTAGTGTCTCGTTACTAAAGCCAGGACTGTCAAAGTCATAGCTCAATATTTCCTTGTACCAGAGCTCAGAGACCTATAGAGAGTAGGAAACCGCACTAAGTTTGGGTATCTAAAGCTCAAACTATTGATAAAGTGATCTATTATTGTCGCATATATTGTACATGCGACACTAATAGCCAAGGAAACAGGGACGCTTTATCCCGAGGCAGTCCTTGCCAGGTCGATTAAGCTAAAGGTAGATAATTGTTGCTGGGTTTTAGCTTTCATTTAGCGCTGATAAGTCCGATTTTTCAATCTACGATTAAATCCCAAAGAATGCGCGTCTCACGTTCAAGGCTGTATTTTCCTAGCGTCCTATGATCTGTCAGGATAATAAAATGGCTATTCTCTTTACAACAATCTCCTACCCTACCTTTACACCGCTGACTTGGGCCTTGTCAAGCACCGCCACGCTTATTCCAATCCTCGAATTATCCAAGCTTTCCATGGCGCCAGTCACCAGAAGGCGCTCGGCCCAATACTGGGCCTCATCTGTTAGGGCCCCACTGAAAACTAGCGGAGGAGAACCATGACGGGCTCTAAAGTAGTTATGGGTGACGAGCATTTCCAGGCGAAAACTCTCTAAGTCTGTTGGGCAAATACAAGGTTTAAATCAGTGGGGTCCAGCAGAGAAGTCGAAATCTAAATCCAAGGAAGACACATTTTAAAATATTATGAAGTGCAAAACTGCTGAAATCATTTGGAGCACGCTGTGAGGCTGGTATTTGACTTAGAAGTTTCATGTGTCATGTCAAGGTTTCATACTCGGGCAATCAAGGAAAAAGCGGAAAATTTTTACAGCTGAAAGCAACCGAGCATGAGCAATATTTTTATAAAGACTAAGTAACTAAAGGCTAAAATTCGCAAGATTACCACCGCACACAGGTCATCAATTTGGCACCTTTCGCTGCAAATAAATAGTCATTATAGCCACCAAAACGTTTCAGCTTAGAGCGCCGACGAGTCACCTGAAATTTAGTGAAGGTAGACTCCAAAGATATACGGATATTTGTCGTGAGGAGGCTATCGTTCCAATTCTCCTTGGTATCTTCCTTGGTATCACTTGGTTGCTTCTTTATCGATCTTAGTATGATACCAATTTCTTATCAATAACGATAAGAAAACAAATAATAGTTACCTGAGCCAAAGAATTTTGCCATGTTAGGCAAAGATATGTCAAGGAAAAGAACCTTGTGGCATGACTCACCAGGGGTAGGCGGCACAAACCCTCTTGGCTCTTTACTCTTTCTTTGCCGCACCGCTGACCCCATACGAAGAACGTTGTCCCCAAATGATCCTTCCATGTTACCCGGAGGTTCATAAAAAGCGACAACTACACACAGATCATCGTGGAGTGCTCTACCAACTCCGAGAGACTCTGAAGCGACCCAAACAATCTGGGATGGCAAAAGCAAAAAATAAAATACGTGGATATCAAAAGTGTTCGATGTTTCTACAAAGACCTTCAACTTCATGAAGAAACAGGATATGACACAGTTTGCCAAATAGCGAGACTATCTGTATGCGAGTATAGCGCTGAATAGCAATAAAACAGACTGTTTCGTCGAACGAACTCGACGCCTTCTTAGGATCTCTTTTCCTTGCCTGTGCTGAAAAAAGACGGGTTTGGTTTCTGTGGAGTCGTAGCCAAAGTTTGGACAATTTGAAAAGTTTACCCTATAAGCTTTTTACTTTCTTATTTGGTTTCCGTCAAAAACGTATAACATCAAGGCCATCAGCATTAAATGTTTAATGATAAAGAAAGAAAGAAAACAAGAGGAAATTACCTGCGAAAAGTTTGATGTATCTTCGCTGTAACCCGGGTCATCAAAGTTGTAGTCTTCTATTTCGTCATACCACATATCTGTCGCTTCCCGCCCAGTTAGTTCACCACCCACCATTCCTGCTAAATTCTCCCCAACAGTGTCGTCATCATTGTGTCGAAGTTCACCACTTCGCGCCAAATTCTCAGCCCACTGCTGGGCTTCCCAAGCTAGTTCCGCTGACCACTGAAGGGGAGCGGCACCGTGTCTGAACCTGTACTCATTGTGCACAGCCAGGCATTCTTCGTGAAACTCTTTAAGGCCTGAAACACGTGAAAATTAAGTCAGTTAGTTAGAGAGCTAAACTGTGGAAGTAACTGAAATAGCTTGACTATATGACGTCACTCTGTGATTAAATGCATGAAAAAATGATGCAAAAAGGACCGCCCCGAGAGTTTTTTGGTAAATGTTCAGGCATGTCTTGAAGTTTTCCATGGTATAGTCA